GAGACTGTTTGTTACAATTTCCGTTCTTTTGCATTTGCTGAGGAGTGATTTACTCCCAATTATGTGGTCAATTTTAGAGTAGGTGTGATGTGGTGCTGAGAAGAATGTATATTCTGTGGATTTGGGGTGGAGAGTTCTGTAAATGTCTATTAGGTTTGCTTGGTCCAGGTCTGAGTTCAAATCCTGGATATCCTTGTTAATTTTCTCTCTGGTTGATCTGTCTAATGTTGACAATGGGATGTTAAAGTCTCCCACTATTATTGTGTGGGAGTCTAAGTCTCTTTGTAAGTCATTAAGAACTTGCCTTATGTATCTGGGTGCTCCTGTATTGGGTGCGTATATATTTAGGATCGTTAGCTCTTCTTGTTGCATTGATCCTTTTACTATTATGTACTGTTCTTCTTTGTCTCTTATGATCTTTGTTGCTTTAAAGCCTAATTTATCAGAGATGAGAATTGCAACTCCTGCTTTTTTTTTGCTCTCCATTTGCTTTGTAAATCTTCCTCCATCCCTTTATTTTGAGCCTTTGTGTATCCTTGCATGTGAGATGGGTTTCCTGGATACAGCACACCGATGGGTTTTGGCTTTTTATCCAATTTGCCAGTCTGTGTCTTTTGATTGGGGCATTTAGTCCATTTACATTTAGGGTTAATATTGTTATGTGTGAATTTGATACTGCCATTTTGGTGCTAGCTGGGTGTTATGCCCTTTAGTTGAGCTGGTACTTGTTGTTCCTTTATGTATGTAGAGCCTCTTTCAGGAGCTCTTGTAGAGCTGGCCTGGTGGTGATGAAATCTCTGAGTACTTGCATGTTCCCAAAGGATTTTATTTTTCCTTCACTTATGAAGCTTAGTTTGGCTGGATAGGAGATTCTGGGTTGAAAGTTCTTTTCTTTAAGGATGTTGAATATTTGCCCCCACTCTCTTCTGGCTTGTAGGGTTTCTGCTGAGAGATCTGCTGTGAGTCTGATGGGCTTCCCTTTATGGGTAACCCGACCTTTCTCTTTGGCTGCCCTTAGTATTTTCTCCTTCATTTCGACCCTGGTGAATCTGACGATTATGTGCCTTGGGGTTGCTCTTCTTGACGAATAACTTTGTGGTGTTCTCTGTATTTCCTGGACTTGAATGTTTGCCTGCCTTGCTAGGTTGGGGAAGTTTTCCTGGATAATGTCCTGAAGAGTATTTTCCAGCTTGGATTCATTCTCTTTGTCGCATTCAGGTACGCCTATCAAACGTAGATTAGGTCTTTTCACATAGTCCCACATTTCTTGGAGACTTTGTTAATTCCTTTTTACCCTTTTTTCACTATCTTGCCTTCCTGTTTTATTTCATTGAGTTGCTCTTCGACCTCTGATATCCTTTCTTCTGCCTGGTCCATTTGGCTGTTGATACTTGGGCATGCTTCATGAAGTTCTCGTGTTGCGTTTTTCAGCTCCATCAATTCACTTATATTCCTTTCTATTTTGTCCATTCTCATTAGCATTTCGTCAAATCTTTTTTCAAGGTTCTTAGTTTCTTTGCATTTGGTTAGAACATGTTCTTTAAGTTCACAGAAGTTTCTTACTACCCACCTTCTGAAGTCTGATTCCGTCATTTCATCACACTCGTTCTCCATCCAACCTTGTTCCCTTGCTGGTGAGGAGTTGTGATCCCTTTTAGGAGGAGAGGTGTTCTGGTTTCGGGTGTTTTCATCTTTTTTGCGCTGGTTTCTTCCCATCTTTAAGGATTTATCCACCTGTCGACCTGGTAGTTGCTGGCTTTCAGATTGGGTCTCAAATCTTTCAGATTGACGTTCTGTTTGTTGATGATGAGGTTATTTCTGTTTCTTGGTTTTTCTTCTGACAGTCTGGCCCCTCTGCTGTAGGTCTGCTAAGGTTCACTCCAGGCCCTGCTTGCCTGGGGTCCACCTGCAGCAGCTGCTGAACAGCAAGGGTTGTTACCAGTTTTCTTCTTCTGCTATCTTTGTCCCAGAAGGATACCCGCCTAGTGTCAATCTGATCTCTCTTTTATGAGGTGTCTTTTTGGATATATAGGGGTCAGGGAGCTGCTTGAGGAGAGGGTCTCTTCTTTATAGGAGCTCAGATGGTGAGCTGTGACCTCTGTTGTTGTTCATTCAGAGCTGCTGGGCAGGTACTTTTAGGTCTGCTGCAGCAGAACTCATAAACTGCTTTTTGTTCCCAGGTGCTCTGTCCCAGGGATTTAGGGCTTTATTTATGAGTTTCCGTTATGCTGCCGCCGCCTTTTTTTTTTTTTTGTTCCTTCAGACCTGCCCAGCCCAGCAAGCAGGCAGCCTAGTCACTGTCGGCCTATAGCAGCTTTGCTGAGCTGCTGTGGGCTCCGCCCCGCTGCGGAGTGAACTTCCCTGCAGTCCTGTTTATATGGGTGTAGTTAGAACTGCTTTGGCGATGGTGGCCCGCTTCTGTTGGGGCGGAGTCTCTGCTGTGGCGGGTTGCCTTGGCAGCGGCAGGCTGCCTCAGCAATGGCGGGTTGCCTTGGCAATGGCGGGCTGCCTTGGTAATGGTGGACGCCCCTCCCCCACGGAGCTGGACTGTCCCGGGTTCAGCTGCGCTTGCTGTGAAACTCTCAATCCAGAGTTTCTGGTTGCTGTTCTTTTGTGGGGTTGGGGCCAGCAGAGCCTGATCGCCTGGCTCCCTGCCTCAGAGCCTTTTTTAAGTTGGTGTTCCAGTCGCCTGTTGAAGAGGCGCCGGGGTCTGTTTGTTTTCCTCTGCGGCCACTCACTGCGCTAGCTTAAACAGTGGCACTGAGGTTTGTGGCGCTTTTTTTTTTTTTTTTTTTTTTGCCCTGGAATCTACTGTCCTGGTTCTCTGCTCAGTCCCCTTTTTGAACCAGCGAAGGGGCGACTTCCCGTGGCTCCAATTGCCAGCCAGAAGGGCACCCGGACCGGTGTATTTTGTACGGAGAACCGCAGCTCCGGGGCGCCGACCAAGCAGCCGCGCTGTTCGGCACAGCCGCGCTGGCCGAAACAGCCGCACTGGTGACCTGTGGAGCTCCTCCGCCCGGGAATTTCCTAGTCTGTGGGCAATAAAAATGCGGCGTCCACTCACCCTCTGCGCTTTCACTGGGAGCTGCAATCCTGAGCTGTTCCTAAACGGCCATCTTGGATCCGATCTCTCAAATTTAAACATTTAAATAAATTTATTTATTTAAAAGTCAGATATGTGCTGGGCGCGGTGGCTCATGCCTGTAATCCCAGCACTTTGGGAGGCCGAGGCAGGCAGATCGCAAGGTCAGGCGATTGAGACCAACCTAGCCAACATGGTGAAACCCCGTCTCTACCAAAAATGCAAAAATTAGCTGGTTGTGGTGGTGCATGCCTGTAATCCCAGCTATTCGGGAGGCTGAGGCAGGAGAATCGCTTGAACATGGAGGTGGTGGAGATTGCAGTGAGCCGAGATAGCACCACTGCACTCCAACCTGGTGACAAAGTGAGACGCTGTCTCAGGAAAAAAAAAAAAAAAAAAAAAAAAAAAAATTTTTTTTCGTGCTACTTAACGGAGCATGAAGTACCTCCATATTACCATACAACATTGGTTCTCAGATACCTTGTAGTTTAGATACACTACACATTGGATATCCCTTACCTAAAATGCATGGGACTAGAAGACTTTCAGGGTTTGAGTTTGGGAATATTTGCATTATACTGATGCTTACTGGTTGAGCCTTCCTAATCCGAAAATCCAAAATGTTCCAGTGAGCATTTCCTTTGAGTGTCATGTCAGTGCTCAAAAAGTTCAGGAGTTTGGAGCACTTTGGATTTTGAATTTTCAGATTTTGGGATGGTCAACCTGTATTATTAGATCATCGTGAGTGCTTTGATGTACCCTAAATGTGAAACATTATTCATATTAGTCTTTGTGGCTTAATCCATGGTCAGAGAGGAAAAATAAGATAAGGCAAGTTAAAGATGAGAGACCATAGAACCATACTTGATTTCTTAGATTTGCACTGTTCAATATGGTAGCCACCAGCCATTGGTGGCTCTTAAGCACTTGCAATGTGGCTAGCCCAAATTGAGTTGGGATATGAATGTGAAATATACATTAGATGTCAAAGAGTTAGTATGAAAAAAATATAGCTCATTAATAGTTTTTTATATGGATTATATGTTTGAAATGACAATAATGAAAAAAGAAGTAACAACTTATTAACAATTTTAGGCTTGAAAATATGACTCATTATTTTCCTGTTGAACAGCACTGTCTTAGATAAATCCACTTTCTTCTTTTCTTATAATCAAATGTTTAACTATTGTTATTAATCCTTGGTGGAAAAGCAAAAAACAAATTTGGTGTGTGAATATTTATGGGGTGCTAAAAGCTTAATAAAATTTGTTGTGAATGGATTTTAAAATAAATATCATTAAATTTCCTGTTATTTTAAAGTTATATATAATGAAAGGCATTAAAGTTCGGGGATAAAGTTGACTAGATACCAGACATTGTAGCTCGTTAGTCTTGCTGTCTAGAAGTAGACCTTTGCTTTTGCTTTGTATGGATATCTAAGTGCATTATGGGGTTGTTTTTCATAAGAGCATCATAGCTTATGACTAGATTGTATTATCTGATAGAGCCAGTGTTATGCTTGGTGATGCTTTTTTTTTTTTTTTTTTTCCTTCCCTTTTCCTAGTTTTAGACTTTCTAAAGCAATGTAGCTTCATTTGGAAACTTGTTAGAAATACTAATTTTGAACCCCAACCCTGCTGAATTAGAAACTAGGGGCTGGACCTGGCAATCTTGATTTAGCCCTCCAGATGATTCTGATGTGCATGAAGTTTGAAAAACATAGTTGTAGAGGTTCCATTCTATAATGGTGAGCACACCGGACTCTGAATCCAGAGAAACATAGATGTAGATCATACCAGTTTAATAGCATAACAAAATGCAACCTTCTTGTAACCTTTATAACTTATCTATTTGAAAGGAATTACATTCTTTTCTTTTTAATTCATCACTTGTAAAAGTCTTACATTCTTATTCTTAGGTGGATGCTCTCCGATTGCGTTTGGAAGAGAAGGAAACCATGTTGAATAAAAAGACAAAACAAATTCAGGATATGGCCGAGGAGAAGGGGACACAAGCTGGAGAGATACATGACCTCAAGGACATGTTGGATGTGAAGGAGCGGAAGGTTAATGTTCTTCAGAAGAAGGTAAGGTGTAGATGTTTTGAGTTCAGTGGCCCTCTCATACATCCTCCCTCCTACCACTAAGTCAGATTTAATGCTGTCAGAGTTTCTTGCTCATTCCTCAGTTTATGTTTTTGTGATTAGTAATTTGGAACTGTTGTTGCGGTAGGTAGATTGTTAGGACTGCTCTACATAATCAGTTTTTGAAAATTTAAACACTGTTAATATCTTGCAATAGTGCTATTCATGCTGTTTCTCACAAGTGCCTTGTAAATTGCCAAAGTATTTGAACTGACATTGTTTTGCTTCTTCTGTCTTTTATTGAAACTGTACTGAATTGGTTTAGTACATGGACTTGGGATGGTACAACTTCATTTATGTGTTTAATAAGATGACAATTTCAAGCCGAGACCAGTGGCATCTAGACAAACACATAATTCATAAAAAGTGTGTGTTTGTGTATTTCAATACAAATCTTACTGTTCCTTACTCCTTGTTCTTTCCCCTTTTTTCAGAAAAGTTAATATATTTTGATACTCTTTCCAAGGGTTTCTTCATTGTTGTTAATAATAGCATTGTATGGGTGTACTGTATTTAGCAAAATTTCTACATATGAACATTTATTTTGCTAAAAATTTCTTCCTTTACATAAAATGATTCTACAGTAAAAAATGTCATACATATTTAGTTTATACATGTCAAGTATATTTCTTTATTTATATTTAGTTTATACAAGTCAGATACATTTCTGGGATAAATTCCTTGAACTGCTGAGTGAAAGGATATGCATTTATAATTTTGCTAAGTAGCCTTAAAGAGATTGTACCAAGTTTCATTTCTACTATCAGTGATGAAAGTGTTATATTCCCGACATACTTGTCTACAGAGTGTGTTAAAAGACTTGTACTTTTTGGCAGTTTTATAGGTGAGAAAACAATGTCAGTGTAGTTGCAGTTCTTTCATTATTAGTAAGGTTGAACATATTTCTATATTTAAAATCCTTCTATTTTCTGTTATTTGTTCATATGCTTGATCCATTTTTAAGTTCTTTTCTGCTTTTTTAAAAGTTGTTTTATAGAAATCCCTTCCCAATTTAAAAATTAGCTCTTTTGTCTAATGTGAGTTCTAAACATTTCTTCCTGTTTGGCTTATTTATTTATTTATTTATTTATTGAGATGGAGTTTTGTATTGTTGCCCAGACTGGAGAGCAGTGGCGCGATCTTGGCCCAGTGGAACCTCTGCCTCCTGGGTTCAAGTGATTCCTCTGCTTCAGCCTCCCTAGTAGCTGGGACTACAGGTGCCCACCACCACGTCTGGTTAATTTTTTGTATTTTTGGTAGAGGTGGGGTTTCACCACCGTGTTGGCCAGGCTGGTCTTGAATCCTGTGGCCTCAAGTGATCCACCTGCCTCAGCCTTCCAAAGTGCTGGAATTATAGGTGTGAGACACCATGCCCGGCTCGCTCTCTCTCTCTCTCTCTCTCTCTCTCTCTCTCTCTTTTTTTTAAATATTATCCAGCCCATGCCATCTAAGCCTTCCAACAGCACTGCTCCTAGCTCTGTTTGGCTTTTGACTAGAGAGAGAGAGAGACAGAGAGAGAGAGAGAGTGTATGTGTGTTTTCAGGCTTTTTAAATAAGGTGAATATTTAGATTTTGTGAATATTTGGATTTTGTGACATACTGCAAAAGTTTTATTTTAGAATGTTTCTTTTCTGGTGATATTGATCTATCTATGCATCCAGTAACATTGTTTTCATTTTTGTGTTTTTGTGCTATATGTTAATAATAGCTGATTCTTTCCAAGGGACTTTTCTTTGTCAGAAGTACCCTTGCTTTTTTTTTTTTTTTTTTTCCCTTGGCTATCTTTCCATTTGAAATTTAGAGTTAGTTTTTATCATTTCCTGCCTTTAATTCTTGTGTTGTGTTTTTTATTGTGATTACATAAAATTTATAGTTACTAATTTATAGAAAAATGACAATAGGGTATATCTTTTCATGAATTCATTTTTTGTTTCTCAAAAATGTTTTAAGGTTTCTTTCATATAGATTTTATGCATTTATTAAGTTTATTCCTAGGTTTTCTGTTTGTTATAAAGTGTTAACATTTTTCATTACATCTTCTAACTGCTTTCTTTTTTGTACACATGAAGGCTCGTGATTTGTACTTAGTTATACTGAATTCTCTTAAAGGTTTGGATTTTTTTTTAGTTGATTCCTTTGGCTTTTCCAAATATGTAGTGATATCATTTCTAAACAGTGATTATTTTCCTATGTTCTGTTTTAATGTATATACCCCATTTTCTTCTCTTTTCTATTTATGTGTACCAGTGCATCCGAAACCACACTACATGATAGTGGACATGTTCGCATTATACCTATTATACCTGATCTGAATGAGAACGCTTTTAGTTCTTTCCCAGTAAAGTACACTGCTTGCTTTTGTGTTAGAATTGATAAATACAGTAAGAAAGTACGTGTTGAAATAAAATGAGTAAATTTTTTTTTTTTTTTTTTTTTTTTTTTTTTTTTTTTGAGGCGGAGTTTTGCTCTTGTTACCCAGGCTGGAGTGCAATGGCGTGATCTCGGCTCACCGCAACCTCCGCCTCCTGGGTTCAGGCAATTCTCCTGCCTCAGCCTCCTGAGTAGCTGGGATTACAGGCACGCACCACCATGCCCAGCTAATTTTTTTGTAGCTTTAGTAGAGACGGGGTTTCACCGTGTTGACCAGGATGGTCTCGATCTCTTGACCTCGTGATCCACCCGCCTCGGCCTCCCAAAGTGCTGGGATTACAGGCGTGAGCCACCGCGCCCGGCCTAAATGAGTAAATTTTTTAAAATTATTTTTTGGTTCAATATTTTTTGGAGAACAGGTGATGTTCATTTGGTTACATGAATACCCTCTTTAGTGGTGATTTCTGAGATTTTGGTGTACCTATCATCTGAACAGTGGACACCAACCCAGTCTGTAGTCTTTTATCCCTGATCTCCTCCCACCCTTCCCTTTGACTCCCCAAAGTTCATTGTATCTTTCTTATGCCTTTTGTCCTGATAGCTTAGCTCCCACTTATAAGTGAGAACATACAATGTTTGGTTTTCCATTCCTGAGTTACTTCACTTAGAATAATGGCAGGTTGTTGCAAATGCCATTATTTCATTCCTTTTTATGGCTGAGTAGAATTTTGTAGTGTATATATACCACATTTCTTTATCTACTTGTTGATTGATAGGCAATTGGGCTGGTTCCATATTTTTTACAATTGTAAATTGTGTGTGTGTGTGTGTGTGTGTGTGTTGTTTTTTTTTTTTTTGGGAAAGAGTCTAGCTCTGTCACCCAGGCTGGAGTACAGTGACATTATCTTGGCTCACTGCAACCTCCATCTCCCAGGTTCAAGCAATTTTCCTGCCTCAGCCTCCCGAGTAGCTGGGATTACAGGTGTCCGCCATTCAGGCCCAGCTAATTTTTGTATTTTTAGTAGAGATGGGGTTTCATCATGTTGGCTTGGCTGGTCTCGAACTCCTGACCTCATAATCCACCCGCCACAGCCTCCCAGAGTGCTGGGATTACAAATGTGAGCCACTGCACCCGGCCCGAATTGTGCTATTATAAACATGTCTATGCAAGTGTCTTTTTCATATAACGCTTTCTTTTCCTCTGTACCAGTAGAGGGATTGCTGGATCAAATGGTAGGTCTACTTTTAGTACTTTAAGGAATCTTCATACTGTTTTCCATAGTGGTTGTACTAGCTTACATTCCCACCAGCAGTGTAAAAATGTTCCCTTTTTTTTTTTTTTAAAACCACATCCATGCCAATATCTATTATTTTTTGGTTTTAAAATTATGGTCATTCTTGCAGGAGTACGTTGGTATTGCATTGTGGTTTTGATTTGCATTTCCCTGATAATTAGTGATGTTGAGCTTTTTTATATGTTTGTTAGCCATTTGCATATCTTCTTTTGAGAATTACCTATTCATGTCCTTAGTCCACTTTTTGATGGGATTATTTGTTTTTTTTCTAGATGACTTGAGTTCCTTGTAGATTCTGGACATTAGTCCTTTGTTGGATGCACAGTTTGAGAATATTTTCTCCCACTCTGTAGGTTGTCTGTTTACTCTTCTGATTATTTCTTTTAGTGTGCAGAAACTTTTTAGTTTAACTCCCATCTATTTATGTTTTTATTGCATTTGCTTTTGGGTTCTTGGTTATGAAGTTTTTGCCTAAGCTGATGTCTGGAAGAGTTTTTCCAGTGTTATGTTCTAGAATTTTTATGGTTTCAGGTCTTAGATTTAAGTCTTTGATCCGTCTTGAGTTGATTTTTTATAAGGTGAGAGATGAAGATCCAGTTTCATTTTTTACATATGGCTTGCCAATTATCTCAGCGCTGTTTGTTGAATAGGGTGTACTTTACCTGCTTTATGTTTTTGTTTGCTTTGTCAAAGTTCAGTTGGCTGTAAGTATTTGGCTGCTTTTCTGGGTTCTCTATTCTGTTCCATTGGTTTATGTGCCTATTTTTATACCAGTACCATGATTGGTTTTGGTGACTATAGCCTTGTAGTATAGTTTGATGTTGGATAATGTGATGCTTCCAGATTTTTACTTATTGCTTAGTCTTGTTGCTTTGGCTATGCAGGCTCTTTTTTGGTTCCATATGAATTTTAGGATTTTTTTCTAGTTCTGTGAAGAATGATGATGGTATTTTGATGGCAATTGCATTGAGTATGTAGATTGTTTTTTGGCAGTGTGGTCATTGTCACAATATTGATTCTACCCATCTTTGAGCATGGGATATGTTTCCATTTGTTTGTGTCATATGTGATTTATTTCAGCAGTGATTTGTAGTTTTCCTTGTAGAGGTCTTTCATGTCCTTGTTGAGCTATATTCCTCAGTATTTTACTGTTTTTTACAGTTACTGTAAAAGGGGTTGAGTTCTTGATTTGATTCTCAGCTTGGTCTCTATTGATGTATAGTAGTGCTGCTGATTTGTGTACATTGATTTTGTATCCTGAAACTTTACTGAACTCAT